TCCTTCCTTCCTTCCTTCCTTCCTTCCTTCCTTCCTTCCTTCCTTCCCTCCCCCTCCCTCCTGCCTGCCTTCCTCCTGCCTTCCTTCCTTCCTTCCTTCCCTCCCTCCCCCTCCCTCCTGCCTGCCTTCCTCCTGCCTTCCTGCCTTCCTGCCTTCTTTCTTTCTTCCTTCCCTCCCCCTCCCTCCTTCCCTTTCTCCCTTCTTCCTTTCTTCTTCCCTCCCTCCCTCCCTCCCTTCCCAGTGGTTGCAGGCTAATTCTGCCTTATTGCCAGCCGTTTGATCTTGACTGGCTCGAGGTTGACTCAGCCTCCCATCCTTCCGAGGTCAGTAAGATGAGGACCCGGGTTGTTGGGGGCGAGAGGCTGACTCTGTAAACCGCTTGAAGGGGGCTGTTAAGCCCTGTGAAGCGGTGTATAAGTCTAAGTGCTATTGTTCATCCGGTGGTGGAAATTCAACCAGGGTTAGAATTTCCATCTCCCTGCCTCACTGCTCCATCCCTGGAGACCCGGTGTATCCGTTCCTGTCGTCTTTGACTTACCAGGTGTGCATCAGTGTTAGGCACAATATAGGCTGTCAGATTGTGCGTTCTCATGCGCTCACGCAGGGCCTTCAGCCGCTCGCTAGTCACAATCGCCGTAGGTGGCAAGTACTTACAACAGAGTGAAACATGGCAGCAGAGAGTTAGGAGAGGGAAGAGAGGGACAGAAGGATAAGAGAGGTCACCGTCTGTACCAGAGGTGGAATTCAGCAGGTTCTGACCAGTTCTGGAGAACTGGTAGCTGACATTTTGAGTAGTTCGGAGAACCGGCCAATACCGCCTCTGACTGGCCCCGCCAACCCCATCTATTCTCCGCCTCCCATTGAGTCCCAGCTGATCGGCTGGGTCTTCTTTGGTTGCCCTGCACAGGAGAACGGAGCTGGAAAGCAGGTTAGTGGGGTGGAGACAGGAATGGGGATTTTGCAGTCTCCTTCCCCTGCCACACCCTCCAAGCCACACCCACCAATCCACGCCCACCAAGCCAAACCCACATAAACATTAGTCAAAAAGTTTGAATCCCACCACGGCACAGTTATCGCTGTGTATATAACCAGCACCCAGATGATTTTGAAAAGCTCAACGGGATCAGAGTTATTTAGGGCTTGAGGGTGACAGATCTGTAGAAAGTCCCCAGGGTGAGATTGAGAAGTTAGAAAAAGGATGAACCATCAAGTTCTGTTTCGTTGCCAGAAAAAAAATAAATAACCTGGCTTAAGAACCTCAAGACCTGTCAAGTCCGTTGGGCAGGCAGGCCGTCTACAAATGACGGTCAATAAATAAGTGCAAACACAGGGCAGCCCTCAAGTTTAGCAGCTGAGTTAGGAGTCGAGAAGAAACGGCACCTGGCTTTTTGTGAAAAGAATTCACAATTTCCAGGATGATATAGCCCAGGATGTGATAATGAAGTAGGGAGTTCAGCAGAATAATCATAATTTTTACTGAGTTTTTTTTTTTTCATTAGAGGTTGGGGCGGGGTGTCCGCAGGGCAGGTGGGTGGGGTCAAAGAAAGGAAAATGGGGGACCCAATTGTGATCAAAGCCCCGCCCTTTCAAAAGTGCAGGGCTCCTCCCTCCCTCCCTCCCTTCCTTCCTTCCTTCCTCCCTCCTTCCCCCCTCCTTCTTCCCATTTCCCTCCCTCCTTCCCTCCCTCCCTTCCCTCCCTTCTTCCTCCGTCCCTCCCTCCTTTGTTCCTCCCTTCCTCCTTTTCCTCCCCCTTCTTCCTCCCTTCTTCCCTCCTTCCTTGCTAGGCAGCCACACAAGGCTTCAGTTGGATGTTTTTGGCTGTCATCTCCACTTTTCTGACCATCTGCCTGTGGACATTTCTGGCTTGGGGTAATTTATAGAAAACAGGCATATAAACTTTCTTTTACTGGTTCAGTACAACTTTTTATGACACAAACCGCGAAGAGGAAAAAACGGAGAGACATGACTGAAAACGGGGATTTGGCTCCCAAATTTCATATTGGCGTGATCCTGAAGGACTTAGGAGCTGCAACAGTGGAACTGGATTGACTCTCCTGACCAGGAAGGACGGGGCTTTGCTCGGGCATCAGAAGTTGACAAGAACATTTTTTGGGAGGGTGGTGGTGGAGAGAAACTGTTCTAACATATTAGAAGAACACACATTTGGGGCAAAATTCAGGAACTCACCGGTGGGTTAACCATACAGTTTCTTGTGTCTGCTGACACGGAGCGTGTTTGCTTAGGATAACCTGTGACGCAGCCTAGGGTGAAAGGAACAAAACTCTCATTCAAGCAAACCTTCTTTAAATGGTCTGGGAAGTCAAACAGCCATCCACCCAAGTAATTTGCAACTATCTCTTTTTCATTGTTTTCCCTTTGTCAAAACGTTGGCTGGGGAAACCACACATCCACTTCCTCCTGCAACCCTGTAAAATGAAAGGACTGGAATCACTTGGAAGGCTGGAAAAGACAAGTGTCCTCCAGCAAATTGTCTCCTCTAAGGACCCAATGGGGACGTGGTGGCTCAGCGGCTAAGATGTTGAGCTTGTCAATCAGAAAGGTCGGCAGTTCGGCAGTTCGAATCCCTAGCACCGCGTAACAGAATGAGCTCCCGTTACTTGTCCCGGCTTCTGCCAACCTAGCAGTTTGAAAGCATGTAAAAAATGCAAGTAGAAAAAGAGGAGCCCCTTTGGTGGGAAGGGAACAGCGTTCCGTGCGCCTTTGGCGTTTGTCATGCCGGCCACATGACCACAGAGACATCTTCGGACAGCGCTGGCTCTTCGGCTTTGTAACGGAGATGAGCACCGCCCCCTAGAGCCAGAAACGACTAGCATGTAGGTGCCAGGGGAACCTTTACCTTTAAGGACACAACTTTCAGGTTTTGCTGGGCACCATAAGAGACACTCACATTCTGAGCCACCTTAATGTCATCAATGAAGTTTGAGAAGGTGCATCCTCAAGATAAGATGACTGAATCTAGCACCATTTTAATTTAGATGCCCTGGGATGAAGCATCATCAAGGCATTGTGGGAAATCAGTAGGGTGCTTGAATCTACCTACCCAGTATTGTTCAAAGCCTCTGGTCAATGTAGGGGAAGATGTTTGTAATGAAGGCACTCTAGTCTAGCCAGGGGTGGGACTCAAATTTTTTAACAACTGGTTCTCTGGGCATGGCTAGGTGGGCATGGCCATGTGACTGGGTGGGCGTGGTTTCTTCTTCTTTTGCAGCCTCCCTTCCCCCGTTTTCTTGGCCTCCTGGGCCTCAGGGAAGCCTCCGGGTGAAGCAGAAAGACAGCGAGGGGGATCCTGGCACAGCTGATCGTCAGAACAGCTGATCGTCGGGAGGGGGAAAAAAAAGAAACACTTTAAGGAGTTACTGAGGAGGGAGAATGCAGTCAGTGATGTCGGCCATGACATGATGTCAGGCACGTGCAATAAGAACTGACTGGTCAGGGAGGGGCAGGCGGAGAGGGGCAGGCTCAGCCAGGGGCATGATTTGCCAGTTCTCAGAAAAGCACAGAATCATAACAACCAGTTGTATAGAACTGGTTCAAACCGGTTGAATCCCACCCTTGACTCTAGCACGGTTTCTAAAACTCAGCATCTTATAAGAGATACGGACTTCAATTCTCAGAATTCCCCAGCCAGCATTTTGCTTAATATTTCTTGTAGATCTGAAACCAGGGCATCACCACTCATTGCTGAGCCCAAGATAGGTTCAGAAAGGAGTTAGCAGTGAAGACAGCAAAAAATACAATTTTCAACCCTCACTACAAGTGATGACAGCAAGGTCCTTTCTCTTGGCAATGTGGAAAGGACTTAAGACCTGGGTGTCATTCTTACTGATGATATTTTCACCTCCAAATCTAATAGGATCCTAATTTTCCTGATGCCCTTTTAGAAACTGGAGTTCTGATCCGAACCCAACTTTGATTCCGACTGCAAGAACCGCCGCAAGAAAAGGGCTACAAACATCCATTTGAGTAAAAAAAAAAAAAAGTCACACTAAATGTACATTTTGCACATTTAATACTTTGGTGTGTTCGAATCTATGTCACTCTCTTTTGATTTGACCTTGCTTGTGACCACAACATTGGAACATCCTTTCTGCTCAGCAGGATATTGGGTCAACTGCAATCTGGAGACAAACCCATCTTAACACGGGGAAAATTTTTAGCGTAATAATAAATGAGAAAAGTTTTCAAAACAAACTGTGAAGGGGTGTGCTGCTCCATGCTCAAGATATTCAGCAGTCAAGGCTGGTCACCTTATTATAGCGGTCAAGGCAAAACATTTCATGAGTGTTTCTCTCCAGTTTCGTTTCTTGGCCGTAGCAAATACCATATTAATGCATCAAAGAGTCCGCAGTCTGCTGATACGGTATTGTATCAGTACTGTAATTACCCATTAGATCTCACCTAATGATAGGGACTGGCCCCGGCTAGAACTATATGCAAAAAAATAGCAAATGTTGGATCCCTGCCAGCTCTAATTAGTTTGGACTCTGGATTTAATATCATTAAGAGATCATCTGCGTCCCTAAAATAATAGAAAATATGTAAACTAATATGAAACTAAATGTAAAAGATGAGTATGTAATCAAAGTCATGTTTGTATGGAAATGTGAAAACCTGGAATCATTCTGTTCGCTAAAAAAAGATGTTCTTAAAATGTGGAAAACTGAAATAAAACTTAAAACAAGAGATAATTTGCATCCCTTCACTTCAAAATAGGATCAATTAGTCCTGACAATCTCATGGGCCAGAGAGTTCTGAATGGCTGTGATTAGACTCAATACATGACATTAATATTACAGAAAAGGGAACTAAAGGTGGAGTTCCTAACTCACAATCAGAGGGCTGTGAGTTCGATCCTGGTTAGAGGCTAATATTTGGAATAGACTCTCCTGCTCGAGCGGGGGGTTGGCCTAGATGACCTCCAAGGTCCCTTCCAACTTGTTATCATTCTACTTTTCCATGCCTTTCTGCTTTGTCCTTTGGAGCAGGGGTCTCCAACCTTAGCAACTTTAAGACTTGTGGACTTCAACTTCCTGGGAGTTGAAGTCCACAAGTCTTAAAGCTGCCAAGGTTGGAGACCCTTGCTTTGGCGTGTATCTAAACAAGACTTTTCCCATGGTCCCTAGATCAGGAGGTCCTGCAGAACTAAGAAAAGGAAATGAAAGCAACGAAAAAGCATCCCATGCTATGTGCAGCTGGTGACCAGGAAAGAAATGTCACTGTTCGTTGCTACATGGTGAGTCAAATCCACCCAGAGAAGTCCTCTCAGTTTTGCTGTACTCACCATACCATTGAAGTCACGAGAACTAATCTGGAGAGTAACACAAAGTAAAACATCCTTTCTCCTGGTTTCTCAGTTTCAGGAAAGAGTGTCCTGGTCTCAAACCCCATACATACCATGAAGGAAGAGCAAAATCCAGGCTCGTAGGATGTAAGAAATGGAGGCCATGTCCTTCCTCAGACTGGTGATGTCTCCAAGAGAACAATCTCAGGGACAGGTTAATTCATCAGCCAGGTGAGAGTCCAACCTTCCAAAGGTGGAAGTGCAGTCCAGGACAGTCCAAACAATCTTCCAGATTATCAGCCTCTTTTTCTGTTTTCTCCAGTAAAGCAAATTGCAGCATGTGATAGAGAGAGAAAGGCAAAGTCCAAATTTCAGTGTCGGAAAGCAATTTCTTTTCTTTCTTTTTTTCTTTCTCTCCTTCCTTCCTTCCTTCCTCTCTTCCTTCCTTCCTTCCTTCTTTCTTTCTTTCTTTCTTTCTTTCTTTCTTTCTTTCTTTCTTTCTTTCTTTCTTTCTTTCTTTCTTTCTTTCTTTCTTTCTTCCTTCCTTCCTTCCTTCCTTCCTTCCTTCCTTCCTTCCTTCCTTCTCTCTCTCTCTCTCTCTCTCTCTCTCTCTCTCTCTCTCTCCCTCTCCCTCTCCCTCTCCCTCTTCCTCCGGAACACTGGTGTTTTTATGCTGCTTTTTCAAAACAAAACAGGAGAAGCCAGTTCTGTTGTTTACACTTCAGTTGTCTCTGGGTTCGAGCCCAGGCTTGCCAACCCGGGGTAGGAAACCCATGAAGTCTATGAAAGTGTAGCAAGGAAAGAGCAAATATCTAGGCGTCATTCAGAATGTTGCAGATCAGTTCTGGGTGGTCCCTAGGAGGGACTTAGAGATGATCCAGCTTTTCCTTGGCCCAGGGTGTTTATACCAGATAAGTCTTGTCTTTGGAATCTGAAGTGGGTGGAGGAACTTCAACAGTCTCTAAATGTGGCCGTTGGAGTAGAAAATGCAATGACAAGAAGCAAGAATCAAGTTGGAAGAAGTTGTTTGTTTTAGGCTGGGCAACAGTCCCGGGAGTGAGGTCTTGCTTTGAGTAATATACTCCAATTGAAACCCTCCCCCCTTTAAAAAAAAGAATTGGGTTGAAAAACTTCAAAGTTTTCACTGGGAGGTGCTAAGCTCAAAGGGACAAAGCGTAAACAAGGAAACTTCACCTCCTATGCAACTGAAGGTTACAAAAAGGAAGTTTATGGCAGTCAGCAACATGGCACACCTCATAAAAACAGTCAGGCCAAAAAAGGGAAGGGTTAAAACAACACCACCACTAAAAATAAAGGAAACGATCGATGATTTAAAAAAAAAACATTGAAATGTAAATAATAGTTCAATTTGAAAAGGAAACCCAATGGCGAGTTCACAGCCTCTGGATTCAGTGTTTTTAGATGTGTGTGTGTGTGTGTGTGTGTGTGTGTGTGTGTGTGAGAGAGAGAGAGAGAGAGAGAGAGAGAGAGAGAGAGAGAGAGAGAGAGAGATGATCGAATTGCATCAAGATACAAACTGTGTTAGTAAAAAGGAAACATCTGATATGTGTCAGGCTGCTAGCTTTGGTCTCTGTTCTGCTCAAAGGAAAAACTAGTTGTAGATGATGGGAAAAGTTAAAGGCCAGTGCACAAAATTAGCCTACAATTCATGTTTGGCAAATCTGTGTGAATGTTCTCAAGGAGTTGTGAACTTATAAATGCTTTGGAGGGCTCTTCCATGGTGGAGATAACGTTTTCTCAAGTGAAGGAGAATTTTTGTAGCTCAGGGTTGAAAGGAAGGGTTCCTTGGTGCTTTCTGAGCCTGGATGTTTTCTCGCAGGCGTTTCATGACCAAACTAGGTAACCTCTTCAGTGCTACCAGTTCTTTTTTTTTTTAATAAAAGTTTTTAAAAATTTTTACACATCTCTTCAGGTGAACAACATGATTACGGATTATAACACTTGTACATAGTCATACTTTCATTTCCATTAATCTTATACAATATCATCTCATATCATTATCCATTTCACTCATCTTTAAATAAATTTGCATTTCATATTTCAATTCATTAATTCAATATCAATATCATTTCATCCACACATAGGTTTTAAATTCTTTATCCCCTAATTATTTCCATTTTCAGCTTACCACCTATTTTATTTTATATTACACATGATTATTATCCTTAATTTTCTCGAAGCCAATATATAATAAACAATCTAAAAAGAGTAAAAGTAAAATAAAGTCAATGTATTTAGGATCCACATGGTATTTTTCATCCCCCTACTTTAATCATAATAAAATACTCTCATTGTACACTTCTAATATCCATTAAATAATCAACTGTATATTTTAAAATGTACATATTTTAAAGTATCCCCCCCCAGTAAATCACTAAAATAACTTCTTAATATGTCTCATTTTATCTTCACTTTAGTTATAATCATTAATAATCATATTTTTTCTTCCTTTCCACTTTGCCAAAGTTTATCTATATATTTTAATTCATTTCCATTCCTGTTTTTAATCCTCCAAAAAAAGAGTTTATAATAGCATAATTCATATTATATATATATGTGTGTGTGTGTGTGTTATATGTTATGGTTATAGTTATAGTTAGTTATAGTTATAGTTATATAGTTATAGAATCCTAAAATATTTCCCAGCAAGTTTTAGACTAAATAAGAGACGGTATTGGCTAGTTTTCCAAACTATTCCAAATTTCCACTACTGGTTCTCCAGAACTGGTCAGAACCTGCTGAATGCCACCTCTGATGATGAGCCTTAGACAGGGCTATAAAAGCAGTATATAAGTCTAAGTGCTATTGCAATATTCCCTCCTTCCCTCCCCATTAAGGGAATAGCACATCCCAATGTGCAAAACAAAGGATTCTTTTACTGATCATATTAGGAGAAATAGAAAGACAGACTTACCGCCTGCTGTAAGATAAAAAATGCAGTTAATTAAAATCACATGCAAAAGAAACAAGACTAAACAATGTATTCATTTATACAAATTAGAGGTCCTCGGACTCCACATAAAAATTCTGGGCGGCTTTTTTTTGAGAGGGGAGGCTTGTTTTTCCTTTTAAATTTGTTTTTAATAGTCCTCATATTTTTCCTTCCACCTTTACTCTGGCCTTAGTTGTATTTCGTTTACAGTAATGTATTCCTTTCCCTTTTTGTTGTTTTGCTTTGTTTGTTCTTGTTTTACTTAATTAAAACAATAAAATCAGGGAGGGGGTAAAAGACTGGGGCCAGCTTGCAACTTTAAAGAAGCAGCAGTGATTAAGAACACAGATCATATAAATGTTGGAAGAAAACAGAGACCTCAGAGAGTAAAAAATAAATTCTACGCGGGGCTCGACACCCATCCTAACCAAAATCTCAGAGGTGAAGGCAGAATTTTAGCAAATTTCTGAACATAATGCAGGGAGAGACATATGGATCTCTTCATAGAAGATGTTGTAGTTCGCTGGCAGCCAGTGCAGATGACAGTGGAATCGGACAGTGGGGAAGAACGGGGACCAATCTAGGAGTCTGGAGTGGACTCAGATGAGGGTCCTGCGTCCGATGCAGAGATGGGGCCAGGACCATCTGGGAGTGGGGTGCTGACTCTGGAGCCACAGGAGTCTGGCAGCAGCGAGGCCAAAGAACAAGGGGAGCCTGTTCCCAGTGTGTGTGTGTGTGCAGAACTGCTAGAAGGCAAGAGCTGCTAAGACAAAAGGGGAGACTCGAGAGTAAGACTGGGAGGTGATTGCCCCTGCCCTAAGGTATAAAGGAAGTGCAAAGGCAGAGAAACCTTTGCAGGAAGCAACGTCAAACCTTGAAGCTCTGTGTGGACTTTGTACTTTGTTTGGCTTCGCACTAGTTCTTGGCAGCAATTCAAAGGAGAGAAAGGTGGGTGCTTATCCCGAGGGACTGTTTGGGACTCATTACTGGCTGGGAATGAACATAATTCCCAGCATTAAAATAAAGCAAGATTTATTTTGACTAAGTGTTTTAAATATGGTTTCAGGAAGCCTTGGTCAGAACAAAAGATGCAGATAGGGATCTTCTCCAGAGAAGCCAAGCATCCTACATCCCAATATGGTAGATTACAGCTAGTCCTTGATTTTGGGCCACAACTGAGCCCAACATTTCTGTTGCTAAGTGAAACACTTCTTAAGCGAGTCTTGCCTCCCCATTTTTCCTATCTTTCCTGCTGCTGCCATTAAGTGAATCGTCGTAGTTGTTAAGTGAATCTGACTTTGCTGGCCAGAACATCACAAAAACCTGACCTCAGGACATGGCAAAACCATCATAAATACAAGTCAGTTTCCAACTGCTTGAATTTTGATCATGTGACCATGGGGAAGCTTGCAATGGTCATAACAGTGAAGAATGGTCATAAGTCGCCTTTTTGAGTGATGTAAATGGGTGGATTGGTCACTAAATGAACTGTTGGAAGTCAAGGATTACCTGTATATGTGCTACCTGTCAATCCCCAGCAAGTCTAAGCATATATACTAATTTCTTTTCTTTATTACTTCATATATTTCCCCCTCCTTTCTCCATTAGGAGAATAGCACTTCAATAGCCTTTCCCAATATGCAAAACAAATGATTCTTTTACTGATTAGGAGAAATAGAAAGACAGGCTTACCGCCCACTGTATGATAAAAAGGGAGGTTAATGAAAACCATATGTAAAAGAAACAAGATTAAACAATGTATTTATTTATACAAATTAGAGGCCCTTGGACTCCACATAAAAATTCTGGGCAGCTAAGAGAAAAAGAGGAGAGAGCCACTAGAAAATTTCCCCTTTTTTTCCATTTTGTTTTTACACTGCAACTGTCATAAATACGAGTCAGCGGCCAAGCGGCTGAATTTCAATCACGCGACCACAGGGATGCTTGTAAGCAAGTGTGGAAAAATGGACACCCTTTTTTTCAGTGCCGTTATAACTTTGAACAGTTCCTTAAATGCAGTTTTGTGAGTCGAAGATTACATGGTGATTGGTTGCAATGTTGGAAGATCTGAAGGGCCAGTTTTGGGGCCCGTCATCGTCGGTGGTATGCTGCCGATTCGCACCGGTTTTAGCGATCCGGTAGCACCAGTGAGCAGTTGGCCCCACCCACCTGGTCCTGCCCTTTCCTATATTTCCCTGTTTTTTTACCTCAGCTGATTTGCACAGCTCAGCTGTTTTCTTCACCAGCGCTGATGGTAAGGTAAGTTTTCAAGCTTAAAATTGCCCGTTTTAGAATGCTGTGCATGTGTGCGCCCACAGAACCGGTAGTAAAAAAGTTTTCATCCCACCCCTGGAAGCAATCCTGGGTTAGTGGTGCATTTCAAAAATGGTTATCACCGGTTCGGTGAGCGTGGCTTGGTGCAAGCACTTTGTGCAGGCTCAGAGGCATTTTGACTCATCTCCTGCAATCC